CTTAAGTTAGAATATGTTTCTTGAAAAATCTAGAAAGATCATGGATCTTGTTAAGGGGTCGTTAGGGACAGTTTTGTCATTGTTCTTAAGCCTTAACCTATAAGGCTAACTTAGTTTAGTCATTTACTACCCTAAACTTAGTTCGAGCCTCAAACATGATCCAATGGTTCTAAGGAAATGTTGATGTTTAGGACCTCCATTATTGAGCTTCCCATGTGCGAATTGCTCCAATTTTTTTTTTTTTTTTTTTTTTGGTAGATCCATCTGTGAGTTTAGTTTCTGAAACTATAAAAAATTTCTTGAGAAAGGATCTAGAAGGGGTCCAACTTGATGAAGAGTTGAGGCTGAATCTGGTTTGCGTTGGCATGGTCGGTTCAACTTTTTTTAAAAAAAAGGGAAGAAGACTCGTGACTCGTTGTGAGATCGCCCTGAAAAAGTTTATCTCTAGCTCGATAAAGAGCAGTTCTCCCCTTGATTTATTCATAAATCTTGTAGAGGGTGCTACAAGGAAGAATTAAGGAACAAGAACTCACATTGGCGAGGACTGTAGCCATAGTTATAAGTCGTGTAATAGCGCCAGAAAATGTTACTCGCATCGGAGGAAAAATTCAAAACTTCTTATTGCTTGGGACATTTTGGACATTATAAAGCCTCAACTTGATAGAGAGCTCCTCAACTTCTTCGTGAAAGCTCCTCCTCTCAATTGCAGTCGGCCATGGAATATCGAATTGGAAAATGTGTCTAGGCCATGTGTAGCTCTCAAATCCTTCATCAAACTTGTTGAGAATCTCATTTAAAATGTATAGGAATTGATTTGAGGAAAAATAGTGTATCATAGTTCTCAAATTTAGAAGAAATTCGAGAAAATAGTGCCTATAAATGAAACTCAGATAACTAGTAATGGGAGACTGTCAACTCTTGTTTCTTGCACCAAATGATAGTTCATAGTTCATAATTTATGGATAGAATCTTAACCGGCTTTAAACATCCTGCCATGAATTTGAAACACAAAGTTTCTAGAATTTTCAATGAAAAACCTTATCCAATCAGGGGTTACCGACTTCATCTTTAAACATTAGTCGTCGGATGTAAAGAGTTGTGTCGTCTTCAAGTTGGTCAATTATGAAACTAAATCTAAAATCTAAGGTCATGGGCATTTTTGTAATTATTTTAAACTTTAGGGGCATTTTTTCATTTCCTTGGGACCTTATAAATTCTGGTTAGGGTATAGAAATTGCTTACTTAGTCTCTTGTCCTTGCATGTCTTAATCCTTTCCGAACACAAATTATTTAACCTTATTTGAAGTCTTATAGAGTCGTTTTGGAGCATCTGTTTGAATATTTGGAAATCTTTTGTAACTTGTTTATCTTGTTTGTAACTTTAAGGTAACCGACTTGTAATTGAACTTCGTTTTATTTATAATTTTGGTGCGGTTGGGTTTTAATTTAATTTATATTTTACATACTTTTATATCTTACTTTAATTCTTTATAGTTTTTTTAGAAGCATGTTTAGGAGGTTGGAAAACTCTATTATGCCCTTAATTGATTATTAGATTGATTGTATTGTGACTTAGAGTTAAGTATGGATGTTTGGTGAGCCTTAGCCTACGTTTCATCTTTCTTTAGTCCTTAAGCCACATTTAGGGTCAATTACGAACGGTTGGGGCACAACCCCTAATCATGAACTTGCTTCAACATGTTAGGATCTGCCTAATATATAAGAATGTGACGTTACCAACTTATGACTCGTGACACAGTATAAAGTACTACTAAGGGAGATCTAATGCGGCTTAGTGGAGAGCTTGTTTTACACTATTAAGAGCCTGGAATTGCGTAAAAATAAGGAGCTTGATAGCTACCACTAAAGGAGATTTTGGCTAACATTCCATCATATGAAGCCTATTGGGAGATTGAGAGGTTAATAATCGGGAGTTATGACTTTTTTATACCTGTTAGATTCACCCTAGAGCTCGTGATTGATGAGGGTGCCCTAACTTGTAAGCACATCGTGTAATGACGTAGATGAACCAAAGAGATTACGAATCAATGGCTAAATGCACATAGAACCCCAAGAAATGATGAATGACTTGCTCCCTTGGAATATGAGTGATGTAGGTAATTGAACTTAAGAACCTTACTCGAGCATAATTTAATAGGAGAAGATTATGCTAGAGATTACAAGTTTGTTATGGATTATTTTTTATTTAATTTTTTTAAAAAAATTTATTTTAGCGATTCAATGAGTGATAAATTTGAACTAATAACTATATTCACGTATCAACTCATATTATTATGATAAACTTTTAACAAATTTTTAATTTGTATATCAGAATTGATTGAAACATTTAAAAATCATCCGTCTGGTGGATGTCCGTAAACATAATATATGAATAATTACGAAGGGTTATATGTAAACATAATATATGAATAATTACGAAGGGTTATATGTAAAGTTGAAGGAAGCATATGCTATGAGAAATTTGGAAAAATAGTCCTAAAAAGATATTTTAGAAAAATAGCCTTAAAAAGGGTAAAATTGGAAATTTAACCCACATGAAAAGTAAATTTGGAAAAAGAAAAAAAAAAACCAACACTTCAAGTGTTTAGAAAAAGTGAAAGAAGTTGTAGAAGGTTTGGTGGCTAAACTTAGAGATAAGGATGAAGAAAGAAGTGGGGAGCAAGGCATATGAAAATTAATGGCCACGTTTTCCCCCTCTCCTTTGGGGATCTTAAATTCTATAAATTCAGCTCGGGCCCGCGACTATTTCAGACTTCCACGACCACGACTTCTACCTTGAAAATTTTGAGAGTAGAATACCTTTTTCATCTTTGATTGACGCCTTGGTTTGAAGTAGTGTTTGATCGGCTGTTTCTTCCTTCTTCTTCTTACGTTGTTCGTGTGCCTCGAGAGAACTGGCGAGCTCGTCGACTGTGAACGTCACTAGGTTCTTTAACTCTTCTATCGCACATGCAATATTCTCAAAGTTGTTGGTTAATGACTTCAAAATCTTCGCTCTAATCCTCAGACAACCCATTGAATCCTGTATTTTGGATTCAAGTGATCTTTTCATAGAAATTTTGAGAAAGGGATGTAGGCATAAAAACTTAGCAAATCAGTAGACATTAAAAACTACCCATTGAATCCTGGATTTTAGACTCATGTGCATCCGTTCATAGAAATTTCGAGAAATAGATGTATGCATAAGCACTAAATCAGTAGACATTCAAAGAATGTTGGAATAAAAATTCAGTTTGTCCGATCTATTTTTAATAAATTCTAAATAATTGTTATAAGTTAAGCAAGTTGAAAATTCAAAAAAATTATTACTTTTTTAAAGAAAATTAATTAATTAAAGCTTTGCATTTTTCAATTGGTTGGAAATTGAATTATATTAATTATAATTTAAATTTTAACCCTAAAAATAAAATAATAAAAATAAATTTATTTAATAAAAACCACCATAAATGAAAAAAAAAAAAAAAAAAAA